TTGGTCCCTCTTTCATCTCATTTGTCGACACTGACCTTCCCGAGGTGTCACTTAAATTAGCTCTTTTCAACACCTGTTGATGTTGACGACACCGTAAGCGTATTATGGACCACGATCTGCGAATCTGCACTTGGAATGTGTTCACGTTGAACAGAACAGGCGCAGTTTTCGCTTTAGCGGATATGCTCAAGAAGTACAAAGCCGATGTTATTGCCTTACAGGAAATGCGATGCAAAGGGACAGGCGTAAGTAAATCAGATGTTTACGCACTGTATTATAGTTACCATAAAACGAGACATGGATTTGGCTGCGGATATAGTTTAACAGGAGAATAAAAGACCTGTCTCCAGATTCACTCCAGTAGATGAGCGAATTGTTATAATCTGTATAAAGGCGAAGTTCTTCTACATCAGTCTTATTTGCGCCCATGCTCCGACGGAAGACAAAGATGAGCAGACAAAAGACATATTTTACGAGCGCCAAGAAACACCATATGGCCGCTGCCCTGGTCATGACATTACAATTCTGCTAGAAGATTTTAATGCAAAAAATCGGAATAGAAAATATTTTTTGACCCACCGTCGGAAAATTTAGCGAATATCGCCGTCGAATGAACCATGAGTTGCACCATCTATTCTTGGACATCGGCATTGTCAGATGTATCGAGCTGCTGCGACTAACTTGGCTAGGTCATGTTGTAAGTATGGATGAGGATACCCCAGCACAAAAGGCATATAAAAGTAAGCCAACTGATAGCTCCCGAAGAGGGGATGGCCGCGAATTAGATGGGAAGATCAAGTGGAAGGGAACATTTTAGAACATGATCTTTTAAATTGGAATAGCTGCGCGCAAAACCGAAGCGCCTGGAAATCTTTTTTGAGCTTGGCTTATGGAACAAATATTCTGTCGCAAGCCAGCTAAGAAAGCAAATAATACTTGACTTTTTTGGGTATCAAATCTTCATTCCAATTACCATGAATAATCCCGATTAATTTTACATATACAGTGAGTGTAATAAGTATTTTGCCTCAATAAAAATTTTAAAAAATTCCAATTTATACGCCTAAAGCCAGCAAACTAAAGATGTAAAATGAATTATGTATAATGGAGTAAGTTTGTGGACATATTTAGACCGTATTTCTGCAAGAATCACAGCGAAAGACCTATTGGTCTCGAAGATATCGGCCGAAATATATAACAACCCAAAAATGTTTATGACAAAAAAGTATTTTGCTTTTTATTATTATTTTAGAAAAAAATGTTACATTGAACACGTTTGGTCTTTTTATAAGCGATTTGACCACGATTCCATTACATCACGGCATTTTTTCGTGGGTATTTTCTCACATTTACATTCAATATATTCTCCATCAGTATTTCATTTAATATTTGGTATTTTCTCGTCCTAATCTTAAGATGAGAGTATTAAACATAGTCATTGCGGCTTCAAAACATCCCAAATATGTTTAGAATAATAAAGAAGAGGTTTTGCAAAATATAACGCGAGGACAGAACCTTGAAAACTATAAAAACCAAAATCCGACAAACAAATTATTTAAAAAAAATTCGCGAAACCCAATTTTTCTGACTTCGAAATTTGTATGGTCCAGTAATATTGATCTAGGAACCAATATATACAATGTAAATAGCAATAAGGGGGTCAGATTCAAAGATATGAACAGTTCTAAAGCAATAGTAATAAAAACCAATACATGAAGTTGGGAGAAAACATCATTATTCGTCAAATCCTATTGTCTTTTGAAAAACTGTGGTTGCTGGTGGCGAATACGCATTCTATATTTTATCTCCGATTAACACCATCAGTTGCGAATAAAATGCAGTAGAGAATAAACGGGTCGATGTATTTATTTTCGAAATAAGATGTATTTCTATTGCCAGAAAACCGTCCATATATTTGAATCTGACCTCCTTATTGCTATTTTCATCGTATATTTTGGTTCCTAGATCAGTAAAAATGAACCATAAAGTTTTCGAAGTTAGAAAAATGGGGTTTCGCGATATTTTTTTAAATAATTTGTTTGTCGGATTTTGGTTTTAATAGTTTTTAAGGTCCTGTCCTCGCGATATATTTTGTAAAACCTCCTTTTTATTATTCTTAACATATTTGGGATGTTTTGAAGCCGCGACGACTATATTTAATACTCTGATTTTGAGATTAGGACGAGCAATTACCAAATATTGAATGAAATATTGCTGGATAATGTATTGAACGTAAATGTGAGAAAATACTCGCGAAAAAATGCCGTGATTTATTGGAATCGTTGCCAAATCACTTGTAGTATGTCGTTACCCGCAATGGTACCTATAAAAAGACCAAACGTGTTCTATGTAACAATTTTTTCTAAAATAATAATAAAAACCAAAATACTTTTTTGTCATAAACATTTTTGGGTTGTTATATATTTCGGCCGATATCTTCGAGACCAATAGGACTTTCGCTGTGATTCGTGCAGAAATACGATCTAAATATGTCCACAAATGTACTCCATCATACATAAGTCATTTTCCATCTTTAGTTTGCTGGCTTCAGGCGTATATATTGGAATTTTTTCAAATTTATATTGAGGCAAAATACTTTTTACACTCACTGTATATGTATTATAAATTATTTTTTTTTTTTTTCGAAAAAAAAAACATTCGATTCAAAATGTCTTTTGATTTTCCATCCTTGCATTTGTCCCAAAATGTACGTGCATTCTATGGAAAACTTGATATACTTCTCAATTATTTTTTTTATTTTGACATGAAATAGTTTCTATATAATGAACTAATGCACAAAATAGTACGATAGCGGTGATTGTAAAACACGTATTCTCTTGTTGTCTCTTTTCGTCAGTCATTTTTATGATTTTCTCTCAGTTACGCTTTCACATACATAGTCTCAATTTACTTCTGTTCAACTCTGATATAATGTCAATCCAATAAAAAATTATTTTGAAAATGTTCAATAATTGACTAATATAAGCATAAAGGACTGATAGGCCACCATATATGCCAAAATATGCAAAAAAAGAAAACACTAACGACGCACAGTGTCACGACCGCGGCCAAAAATGGTCAAAACCAAGTACCACGGAGGACAAATTTTTTGATGAGGATTGATAGAAAATACTCCAATTAGAATAAATATGAAATTTTATATCGATATGTCGAGTAGTTTTGTCTCTACAAAGGTTCAAATCTGATAATTATGTATAAACTGATTTTTACCATATTTTCGAAAAATGGTTGTGTTTTTCTGATGCTCAAATATTTGAATATTCGAATTAATGGTTATTTTTAAAGGTATTTTTTTTTGTTGCTGTGAATGTAAAAACTAGGATTCGCATTAGTTTTTATGTATATAGATATCATATGGTGTATACAGTCGTCCACACTTGTAGTACTTAGTTCATCAAATTTGTAAAACAAATTTTGAAAGTAGTGGAGCAGAAAAAAAAGTTTAAAAAAGGTTAGCTCTAATTTTTTTTTATTTGAGTGGTGAAAAGTGTGTTATTTAAGGAATAAAAAAAATTAGCTGGTGACCACCTTATGAAAAAATATGGCATATTCACAAAATGGTTAGAAGCGAATGGTCAAATATGTAATGTATACAATTAAATATGTTATTGAGGGTCAAATAGGAAGGAGAAAATGGATTCAGAACATAGTAATAATACAATATTTTACATAAAATGCGCAATTAAGTGGTGAAAACGTTATTCGAAGCGGAGATATGGGAGAATTGGTTTTAAAATATAGCTTTTAAATAAATGTTCAGTCAGTTTGAAAATTATACTTATTTATCAGATCATTTGAGACATGATCTTATAATCTTAATTTAGAGGTCGCACATGAATTACCGTTGTGGAAGGTTCATACAGAAAAATATTAGTTCATGGCATGGGATACGCAAAGTGCAGTACAATACCTTTTGAGCGACTTTCACAAGATGTTAACAAGTCATGCCAACAAATAATTAGTAGCAGCCCGAACTTTTGTTAAAGCCGAGTTAAATAAGGATTTTATGTAGTATTTTATATTACAATCCGACCTTGTAATATCCGTAAACAGCCATAAAGTAACGGCCCGAGATTATAATGTGGATGATACTAAATCGTACATTTGGGAAGACAATATTATATATATATATATATATATATCTGATGTGTGTTTTGAAAATGTTGTGAATTATAAAAAAGTAATTTATTAGTTATTAAAGGATATCAAATAGTTTTTATATTATAATAAAAATAACAAAAATAAAACTATTATACTTAACTATTATATAACGATTTTATAGTACAGAAAGTTAAATTTTTAGGGACTTTTGGTATGGTAGGTACCTAAAATATGGGCCAACAACTAAATTACAACACCTATTACTGCCTTCGCCCAAATTTGATGTAATTTGGACGAAGACTTGCAAATTTTCGTGGAATTTAGATGAATATAAATAATGTATAGGTCCAAAAAGCGGATTTTTCAAGACCCTTTGTATGGGAGGTATATCAAATCTTGGTCCGATCTACCCAGTTTTTGGTCAGTTGCTTTATAGGCCTAATTAAATGTAAATTGCCAATTTTCATTGGATTTTTTTTGAATATTAAAGATTTTATAGGCCAAAAAGCGCGACATTCTCAATACCCATTATATGGGAGGTATACCAAATCTTGGTCCGACCTATCCAATTTTTTGTCAGTTGCTCTTTAGGCCAATAATAAGCACATGTACCAAATTTCATTAACTTACGATAACTGCTTCTATTTTTGGCCGCTGTTTATATGAACTCGCGACATAGTGCGACGTGATGTAGCCGTAATAGCTCGCTTCAAATTTCATGGAAATGCAAATATGCTTCGTAATATATATATATATATATTTTGAAAAAATTTCGCGGATATTCACGATTTGTTTAGATATTATATTGTATCAGGGCTCAAATGTACCAAGATGTTGGATAAAGCTTTCCTTATAAAATACATTAATTATTACCTTACCTTAAATTTTCCTTCATCCAAATTGATCACTTTTATTTCTCTCCTGCATAACACAGCGGCATTATAGGCACCAAAAGGACACATTGCAGTTGGTTGTGAAATTCCTCGCAAGATGCGAACACGAGTACAGTTTCGAATATCCCACACGCAAATTTCTTCCCTATCTGTGCTTATGGAAGCTATAAAAAATCCCTGATGTGGCAAATTGACCAAAGCATCGTAACTTGTTTTGCCGCTGTCAAGTTCTTCGCCTACAGATTTATTAATAATGTCTAGGAACGGAACCTCTAATTCGTGTGTGGTTTCAAGCCAAGATCGTATTATTTGGTCATCCTTCAACGATGCATCTTCACGGATTCGTGATTTCATGTAGAACTTTATTAGCGTAAAAAATTGTTGACCATCGTAATTCAATTCAAACATATATTGACATAGAAAGTCCTTCAATACACGTATATGAATATATGGTTGGTTTTGTAAGTTCGCCAGCTGTTCGCAAATTAAAACGTCGCTCATCAGATGGGCAGCTCCGGTTGCATTAACCTTATCCGCCATCCATTGGAGTTCGGTAAAATAATAACAATGGAAAAGGATTTCTACTTTGTTTAGTCCAGTGTGATCCTCCATAACGTTACAAAAATGGTGATAAGGCAACTTCAAATATTTCTCTGCATTATAGCTGAAAGCGAAAATGGAAGAAATGTAATTGAAACAAAACATCTAAATATTTACGTCTAAGTACTAAAATACGAACTGATATTTTTTTAGATATATTTTTCATGCATTATAAAGTCGGTAGTTTTTTGGTACATACAAATTTTAAATATTTATAAAAATTAACAATATAGTTAGTATTCCAGTGCATAAATTCAATTCCGACGTACTCAGTGAGAGTACTTTTTTATTTATTTATTTCAATCTTAACATGTATAACGAAGCCTTTAGGCCAATAAATGTAATACATTATGCAAAACAGTATGATTTAACTACTCTATACATTCATTAAAACAGTGTTGTGCAGACCTAAATTGAAGAAATTGAGAATTATTTTGGTCAGAGTAACTGAGAATTCATCACCAAAAATGACATAGGAAAATATAACAAATGAGAATGCGTTTTTAACCATTTACGCTAACATATGAATTTGGTAAGTTTTGGGCATCACTGCATTAAAAGACACGGGATGTGAGATACATCATATCTTAGCTTCATACGTTCATTTTTAATTATATAAAAATCTAGCTTATCATATATTAACAATATTTATGAGTGGCTCATTTATGTAATAATGGACCACTTGCTAAGATATACAAATTTGTTGTCGACGCCAAAAATTGTTTTGATGTATGAACATTTTCAGATTACTCTAGAGTTCCCTGACCAGTAGTAATGGTCTGTCAGAACTAGTGACTAATTGACATACATTTCCGACGCATAATACATAGACCAGAAACGATGGAAACCAATGCAAAACCTTTAGGTTTATGACAATGAAATTAAATTTCAAAATTTTATTCCCAACAAAGTTTATAATTTCTTGTCAGGACTAGTAAGGACTAATCAGAATTTCTGGCTTGAAGCCACAATATGACAAAATTTTCATTTATAAGTTGCTATAGCCTACCTTGAATAATTGTACCATGGATTAATTCTATTATGACAAAGTCTTCAGACTTGATCCAAGTTTGTTAAAAATAAGGTTATATATCTAGGCTCGGTAAAAATGTAAAGTTTTGGGAAGTTTGGTACTTCGCTGTCTTTAATATAAAACAAAAAAAAAAACAAAAACAAAAAAAGCAGACAAACGGAATGGGATTGTAGACATTGTTTAAATATCTAGGATTACACCTTATTTGAAAACTAAAAGTTAACTCATTGCAACTGTATGTATGGGTTAATTGTATTCTGCTTGAACATTGTAATATGTCCTTTAAATTTTCCGTTCATAATTTAAGTGGGGGCAGTGAAACGCCAAGGGTTCAGCTATTTTAAATACAGATTGCTTTATTCCAGAACATTGTAATATATTCATTAAATTTTCAGTTGGTAACTGCAAAGCGCCATGGGATCAGCTAGAATTTTATAATAAAGCTTTTGAATTGAAAGCTCTTCTACACATTCGTGCATTAGCTAACGAATATTGAATATTTTATAGACCTTTGTTCAAACCTTTTTTGATTACAAAAAAATGTAAAAGGAAATTTTGAAATTGTTCTGATGGAATCGGAATTCTGGAATAAGGTTACGGTCGTCATTACCGAGATGTGGGATGCAGTGTGGATTGAAAAAAATTTAAATGCGAAATTAAAAGTGGACTCAAATTCATGTTTTGTTGCCGCTGATTCTGCTGCTATGACGTGTAGCGGGGTTTTTAAGGGAGCTTCATGAAAACAGCGTTAGGCCAATGGAGTAAGCGATAGAATTTTCTTTATCTTAGAAAGTGAAATTAACGTGAAAACATCACAGATATTTTGACTAAGATATTGGGCAACATAAAATTGAAAACACTTAAGAATTTGCCAATTTAATTAATATAAAAGTATGCAGTGTTACACTTTGTTTTTTCAGTTTTAAAATCAAGTTGGAAAACCAGGGTTGGAGCTTAATCATACCGAAACTTTAACGGGACATTTGTATGGGGGCTATTTTAAACAAATAATCTGCATTGAATAATTTCTGGAAAGGAAACTGTTTTTTTCACCATGAATCCGATATGCCAATTTATAATCAATTCCAAAAATGGGGCGATCTCCCTATAGGGTTATGTCAAAACATCGATTGATATCGATATTGAAAAAAATTTTGATTTTTTTCCCATTCCAAAAGTCGTGATTGCCGTGAAATAGAAAATTAACCTAAAATATTAAAAAAAAACAATAACAACAATACAATTTTAAGTAAAAAAAAATGGCGAAACCAAAAAAATCGAAAAAATTTTGAGTTAATGATGTATAATTGATCTCTATATCAAACTTGATGAGATAAATATATCTTACACACTCTGATAAAGAAGCTGCAGAATTTCCTCTGTTCCTCGTAAGGCGTGAGACAAACGGAAAACAAATTTTCTGTAAAATCGATTTTTTTATTTATAACGGCCTTGCAGTAAATGAGCAATATATAGAAAATTATGTGGAAAAAATATGTTTTAAACTTCAATATCCCGGAATGCCAAATTCAAATCAATTTCTGTTTTCGGATGTTCCTCTAAAAAGACAATATCATCCGATTCTAGTTATTTAGCCGCATTCCAACTCATGTGACTGCAATTTGTTAAAGGGTAGTGCCACAATATCAGTATTTTAAAGGTTTTTGCTTGATTCCCCCATTGTAGTGCCTCAAATGTGTAGGTCCAAGTTTTGATATAACCCAACATAAATGATCCACCCCTTTTCGGTATTACCATATAACGCAATATGGGCAATAGTGCCCATAGAAATGTCCCGATCGACTTGTAATTTTGAATGCACATCACGTGGTGGAGGGTATAAAAAGTTAGGCACTTTGTTACACAATAATCCTGAATTCGTTTGTATATTTTCATATTAGAGAAGAACGTCCAAAACATTTTCAATACTGCTTAAAAGAAATTTAACATTTTGATTTTCATAGAGCATCCATATAAAGGTTTCCACAACTTTCGGTTTCTTGAGAATTTCAGATACATTTTTCAATCGAGCAATCGTATATAGTGGACTAAAGTGTCTACATAATAAAACATCTACATAAAAATTCGTAAAGTTTTAATAACTTTTGATCACTTTGCGATATCTCAGTAAAATTGTGCTCCTCAAGAAACATACAAAAAGTCCTTTGAGAGCCGGTCAAAAAGTAGTTAGTTGTCTATTGTAGAGAATTTAAACATTGTATTTTTGCCAGCAAATACGTATTTATTAATTCAACCATTAATTCAGGAGATCATTAGACCGTACCAATGCATTTTCTGCATTTAGAATGTGGATTTTCTTTTAAAGAATTTAAAAAATATAAAATTGTGAATTGTGTTTATGATTCCGACACTGTAACAGCCAATTATGTGCAATTTGGTTTCGTGGATTCCGTTCAGAAATTTTTGATGTTAAATATGCACCTTGCACAGGTAGGCCGGTCGTCGAAAATGTCGATAAAATCAGAAAAATTATCGAAGTTGACCGGTATGATAGCAGTCGTAACATCGCCCAAAATCTAAAAATCGACCATAAAACTGTTTTAAACCATTGGTTTTAAACCATTTACAGTTGTCCAGAAACAACCAGAATTGGTCAACAGAAGAGGTGTCGTGGACAACGATAGGCCACACACATCTACAGTGACTCACCAGAAACTTCGGGAGATTGGTTGGGAAGTTTTAATGCATCCGCCATACAGTCCGGACTTGGCACCAAGCGATTATCATCATTTTCTTGCATTGCAAAAATGTCTTTAATGATAAAAAAATTGGTATCTAGGGATAAAAATTGAATTGTTTTGGATTTATTTTTTTTTACTGTCGTTGCAAACTTTTCATATAGTTGACCTCCAAAGTTTATTTGTGGAACTGTATCTACTTTAATGTAAAAAATGGGTAGGTTTTTTATGTTTTTTTTTTTTCTCGATTTGTGGCTTAGCCAATAATTTCACGGACTTTATGCCGAAGCAAAAAAGCCTACAAAATAAGGATTACGTCCCTTATGTATCGTTTTCCGAAAATTTATCGGCTTCTATCGTTAAATGATGCTGACATTTTGAAGCTCGATTTTGAGTTTTTTTTTTTGTATTTTTCTTCTAATTTCAATGCGCAATCAGGAATTTCAACAACATAAATTTTAGGACTGTTTTACTCGCGAATCTAAGCAATTTGATATATAGAGTAACTTCGGGTAATGTGGACTATGCGTCTAATGTGGACCACCCCCCATATCTAAGAAAATGCTTAAAATAAGTCAATGCCGCCTTGATAAATGTTTTCCTTATTAGTGAAAACAAATATCAAACATGTGTTTAATAAACAATGTAGTAGTAGAAAATGTAGCTCTGATTGTAAAAGTGTGATTTGAACATTTTTTAGCACAATAGTCGAACGTTTTTGCAAAATGGTCAAACACTTTGTTTTTCTCGAATGTAAAGAAGTTGTGTGGTTTTGTTGTTTTCTTCAACAAAAATATACGTTTAGCTGTAATCACAATCGATGATTTTTTAATTTTTATTCATTTTTGAAGCCGATAATTATTTTTAAATAAAAATATTCAATGTCGGGTAATGTGGACCACTATAAAGAAGTTGGACCTTTTCATGAGGAAGGAGTTCGAAACATGGGCGCATTTAATATGCGAGGAGGTATTCTATCCTCTGAAAATTCGATATGCGAAATTACAGGTGCTTCGATTGGATAATGAAGCAAGGACCTTCAAAAAACCCTTAAATGGTGGCTATTCCATAACATGTACCAATATATTTTTGCATTCATTGTTACCCAAGAGTGCAATAAATTGAAATTTATCACAACCAATCCACACATACTGGTCCACATTACCCGCCAAGTAATTTTTATTCGCAGTTTAGGGTTTTTTGAAATATAATGCAATAACATTTTTATAGACAAATGAATGTAATGTTTGATCTGGAATATATTTCGCCAACAAATCTACTATGTTGTGGAAAAAAATTTGTTTTTATTTTTTACCGTAGACGCCTACAATATCAAACAAAAAAAAAAAAAAAAGAAAATGGTGGTCCACAATACCCGAAGTTACTCTATTTTTTGTATGTAGTGTGTGCGACTTCAGAGTAATACTCATCCGAAGCTGGAAATTTTGTCCAAAATTTAAAAACAAATATATTTGTACCCGCGATCAGTAAGCTTTTGTATGTATAAAATCTTCTTCGTGAAAATCCATCTACTTGAACGGCGGGAACTGACCTGCCAAAAACACGAAATTTGGCAAAAATTGTTGTTGAAAATATCGCGGATTTAATTACATTTTCTGTGGATCATTTCCACTTCAATAAATGACCTGATAAAGAAACAGAATTTTAAAATTTTAGTCGAGGGTGAGATGTACCCAATTTATCTCCAAAATAGTGTGAGCTGGGTCATCCATTGTTCTTAATGGACCGCAATGAAATAGGTATAGATCAATGTATTTTTTTTTAGGGTGCACACCGAAATCAGATGCGCATTAAACACGTATGGGCTTTTCGGAAATTATTTGCTTTTTACGAGTTTATGGGTACTACAATGTAACATGTAGGCCATCTTAGCCGTCAAATGAAATTTCGCAAAATCGGATGCGCATTAAACGCTTATGGGCTTTTCGGAAATTATTTGCTTTTTACGAGTTTATGGGTACTTCAATGTAACATGTAGGCCATCTTAGTCGTCAAATGAAATTTCGCAAAATATACATGGATTGGAAGATAAACTTCAGTACTTCCGGAAATCCCCATGCACATCAAATGATTTTGAAGTTTACGCGATTTAGATGCAATTTAAAATGTATATTTTATAATATAGTTTTATTTTAAGACTTATTCCTATTTTACGATTTAGCGCACAAAATAATAACAATTTCCCTGAATAACTGTTTATGTGGGCGGTATTACTTAGAATACCGATGTTAAAACCAATTTATTGGTGAATAAACGACCATTCCCATATATGCATTATTGCTGTTAAAATATATGTACCAAAAATCATTTTTGTAGCAGGAAAATAAAAATGTTGATTTTGTAAAAATGGCATTTTAAAATATTCACACAGTGCCCAGACTACGTGGTATAACTTACATAGGAATTATGTCATTTGGATTAGTGAAGAGGTTTTCTTGTCTGTCGTAAAATTCGCGAATGCTTTGATGTACGTGTGCGTGCTTATGTTTGTACTTGTGCATAATGACGTTGCGAAATTCTTTGTCCGCTATTCGAATGTTTCGTACAGTTAATAGCATGGGACCCAATAGCCAACAAAATTTCGACCATATTCGAAACGCGGCATGTGCGTCCAATTGTGCGGTTCTCTGGAAAATTTCAACACAATCACTCTCTCTTATGCCCCACTGCGACAGGGATATTATCAGCATTAATATTTCGGCGTAATCATTCGGGAACTTGGATTCGAATACTTCCAACATCTTATCCACCATTTCCGTAATATTTGCTATAACAACAGATGTATGACCAAGCCATGCAAGCCACCACAATGATTTCGCATGAAAAGGAGTCTTCCCATTCAACATTTTCCACTCATCTGGCATTTTAATGGCTCCGTTGGCCGCATAAAATTCCCCACCTCCCGAACTGAGAATATCTTGCCATTGTCGTGAACTAAATTGCTTCATTTTAATAAAACACTTGTGGGGAATTCCAGCGTCTCCCAATGTGTTTATAATGGAAGTTTTCTCATTGTTGTTCTCGGTCAATGTTAAAATTATTTTGCACGTGAGGCTTAATTTCAATGGCAGCCAGTTTATGTTGGTATCATATATAATATCATCCACCGAATCAATTATTATAACAAATACGCATTTGTTCAGAGATATTATATCATGTATTACTTTAGAGTAGCTTTCCAGTGTCTGGAATAAATACATAGTCGACATAGGTTAGATAATTTAATAAATAACTAAATGTAGTAATGAATACATACATGTTCCACCCTGATTTGATGTCCATATGCCAGTACTGACATCTGATAGGCAATTGAACCAAGCATTGAAACCAAATCAGAAGAGCGAGCTGTCAAGTTTGCATATCTGAAATTAGAAGATCGAAATTACAACATAATGCAATTATAAATAAGCATCAATTATACCTTAATATCAAATTTACTTCCGGTTTCCATCTATGAATATTTTCGGCTATCTTGGATATAAATACACTCTTCCCGCAACCACTTGGTCCAGAAACTATTAATGGATGTGGTGTGTTGTCTTTTATGTATCTGGAAAATATATATACAAAATTTTACATTACAAATTGTACTTGAATCATAGGCCGGATATAATATATACATATACAGTGGAGTAGGTTTGCAACGAACACCGGTTATAACGAACTTTTCTTATAGAGCGAACACATTTCCTAGTCCCGAAGTGTTTAGACATATTTTTCATAAAATTTTTTTCTCATATAGCGAACTACGGATATACCGCTAAAATCGCTTAATGGAATGAATAGGTATTTTAACATGATTTTAGGATATTACTAGGTATGCCATCAGGACCAGGGCTGTAAGTTTATTTTATACAGTAGTTTTGACTTACCTGCACAAACAACAATTGCAATTATTTCTGTGCAGGAAAGTCAAAAGTGCAGATACACATCTGAAATCTTTAACCTGCCTCAACGTGCACGTAAGTGAATCACTGCAAAAATGGGACAATGTTAAATTATCTGGTATCCGCGATGAGCGATGCCTATATTTATTGCATTAAAATCAATAGTCCTTGTGCGTTGTTTGCGATGGTTTGCAAAAAATAAAGATTGTTTTTTAATTAGATATTCTCTGTGCAGCTAAATGCAAAATTTTGAAGTAGTGTGATGGAATATGTGAATTCTGAGATGTTATATTAAATATGCAGGTATGAATGGTACACTTAAACGAAATATTTGAGAGGGAATATGAGAACATATACGAAAGAAGGGTGTTTTGGCAGCTAAATCTAAAGTGCAGCTATGTGCAAGGCAACTGAATAAAAACTACTGTATAATCTTTGTGTAAATTTACTTTATGTCTCCACTAATTAAGTGTGACACATTCAACGCATATTTGAATATGTGTATGTAACACTAGTGTCAGTTTGATATGTCGAAAAATGTAAACAAAAATACGAATTATCAATAGATTTTATTTATTTTCAAAATTAAACTTTTTAATTTTAAGAAACTTCTGGGTCTTCTTGATTTATGTAAAAATCAAGAAAATCGAACTTGACACGAGTATAACGATACAATGAAATCAGCTGAGCATAATTGTACCATGATTTGAATATTTAAAATTAACCGTCTAAAACACAACTTTGTACGTAACATTGCAAAAATTAATGCAATAATTAATTAAGAACAACCTTATATTATAATACCTTTTCATAACAACTGTTAATTTCCCGATCCATAAACTGTATAAAAGGAGATCGAAATTGTAAGAAGTCGTTCAATCCATGGTCCAATAATAAGGTCATCCGATAAGGCCAGATGATTCCACCCGACCTTTAAAATGCTTTCAATTTTGATTTCACCCGACCTTTTAAAATGCTATCAATTTTTACTTAATTGTGTGAAACCGTAAACAAAAAATTTGACAGTTTGGGGATACAATCCAATACAAATCCAGGCTTAGATAAGTACATGGAAAGTTATTGAGTGCATCGAAGTTCATAATAGCGACAATGTGAGTTATTTTTAAAATAGTAAATAAATTATTGTTGTTTTATGAAGGTATACAACCTACAAAAACATATTGCTTCAACTGGTAAAATCAACATACACACGAATTTTCCTGTTTTTATTTTCCTACTATCATTATAAATCCACACAGAATACCTTTTCTTACAACTCAGAAGTTTGTACTTTTTTGCAACTGTGCAAAAGAGGAGTAAAAGGAGAAAAAAGTAGACATCAGGAAGAAATTAAAAATAAAAGTATTGGAAGAAGTAAGGCAGCACATCAACCTGATGGAAAAACTGTGATTAAGAGAGATTGAATATAAATTAGGTGAAAAAACATGCAATTGGAGAAAATCGACGAATAATTTAGTGTTTTAAATTGATCGAGTGTCTTGATTTATTTCTTTTTTAGACTTAAATTTTAACCCTTAAAAAAGTAGAAATATTTAGTTTTTTGTGATATATTTTAAATGTTAATAAAAATATATATAATTGAATTCAACTATTTTTAAATATAATTGTTATAAATTATATAAATTTCGCCCTTTATTCGTTGCTATTCTTTGGGCTGCAGAAAGGTATTGGTCAGTAACTGGTGGTGTGGCCTCCTATTCTTATATGTCTGCATTTATTACACCCTACTCTTTCTCAACGTTGTAATGGATGCATTTATTCTATAGAGCACAACACACTTTAAGTATTTTAGCTGCTTTATCTGGGCTGTTGTGCAATTCTTTGCACCTAGGATGCAGCGCACATTCATGCATTTAAAATGCACTTCGTTGAAGCTCATTTTCTGGAACTCTATGTAGAGTTAGAAGCATAAGCTCCAGCGAATATTCAGCATCTTCTACAGACAAGAATATAAATTCAGAATTCCTTACATCTAAAATCGGAAATTACCAAGTATACCAACATCGATTTCACCTGCTAAATACTTTTCATCATAATATCTGCGCAGATCGCTGGTGTTCCATATAAGGGAATCGTGATCGACACCGGGGTCTGATTCGTAGATTCGTATGCCATTCTTAAGTTTTGGTCACAAAGCTACAGTTTTTTTTATAATTGCTTACAAAACGCACCAAAACATTATCTATAATAACAACAATATTGTTGCTGACTTCATTTAATTTTATACTGTAAATTTCATAAAACTATTAAGTATAAATATATATAATTTGTTTTTGGACTTGCAGTGAAATTTTACGTAGGATATTTTATTCTTGAACATAATATACCTAAAATTAAATTTCATGTCACTTTAATGCGCTTAGTCGAAAAAAGTATGTACTGGGAAGAAAGCAAATTTTGAATTCTTTGTTCAAAATGTATGTCTAGATATTCCGTATATGCATTATATATATGCAGATTTCTCTTGTTCAGTGACTTATGCTTAAAATTTATGGAGAATATTTTTGTTCCTTATAACATCCTTTAAAAACGACATATTGTGGAAAAATGGGTAAAAACTAGTAATAAGTACGATTAAAACCATAAAATGATTTTTTGTTTTTTTAGATTTTTGACGTTAATGCTGATTTTTGAGTTTTAGTCTATTCTGAGACTTATAGTAAAACATTATGGCGAACATTTCTGTAGAATATTCTGAGCAGCTTTAACCCCGTTTTGAATGAGTTTTCAATCACTCCTGGAAAAGGGGACCGAAAAGACCACTTTAATGAGTCGGTTGAGGGTTAAAGTTGCATACCAAAATATTGCTCGATATTTTATCAGTAATATTGCCGAAGACACTATATACCTAAAATGGAAGAATTTCAAGAAATCATAATTCGAAAATGATCAAAATTCTTGAAAAAGGGGAATATTGTCCCCCCTTTTTAGGTTACCCCCGACGTAAACATTCAAAACGCCGATACACGTGTCTTCTTTTTTTAGACTAAAATTGCAGCAGTATAAAGTTGTTTTGTTACATATAGATCAGAGAATTCTTTGGTCTAACGTTTAATAAGCCAGATGCCTTATTTAACATAGTAATTAAATGATTATTGAAATTTGGTTTGGATCCATTATAACACTGTTGTTTGTAATATTCTACAAAAAGAAAAATGTATTTATAAAGTCTGAAACATGTGTAAAACATTACATCATTTAAATTACCTGCACGCGAATTGTTGCAGCATTGATTCTTTTGGGATAATTTTAACTACTTTTTGGACACATTTTGGGGGTGGAATGTAATTTTTTAAGTACTCAAGTTTTAACTGCATAAACATGGGTTTTTGTGTAGCCCCATAAACATAAGTCCTGATCTTGGTGGCCAGCTGATATCGCCATGCAGAGAAATTACGCGGAAATACCTCATGCAATAATGTCATATTCACTGGAATTGTGGGCATGTTGAAACCAAGTATTCTCTATTTTGTTTCATCTGGGGTTTCATAAGGTATTCGTTTAAATCGTCAAAAGCGCTAACCCCATGTTGCAATAAACCGTAGCGTACACATTTTAAGAACCAAAGTAGGGTATATAAAAAGAAGTATTTTATGTTATTCTAATTTAAACAAAATAAAAAAATTCGCTATATTCGTAGTTCGCTGCAAGAGTAAAGATTTGTATGAAAAATATGTCTTAAAGGTTATGTAAAACTATTAGAATCTATGGTACGTGGGCCTTTATGCGACTAGGGGCCAACTCCGTTCGGACACCAACTAACTCAGCCTTACTTCTCCTGGGTGTGATTCTAACCCGTTCATCCCAGCCCAAGGCACGCACGAGTTCGTAAAAATTCTGTAACAAAATCAACTACCAAGATGCATCAATCATCAAATGAACCACCTACACCCGAAGGATCAAATATGCCCACCCTACCATGATCACAATCTCCTCTTTTTAATCTTTGTGACCCCTATAACCGCCTATCACACACCACTTACCTTATATATTTGCCCCTCCAATGTTTCTCAAATTTAGCACATATTCAATTTCATAATATCATAATAAAATATTCTAATTTATTCCAATATTAATCCTAACAAATCAGTTTTTATAGTCGGCATAAATCATAATTTTTATCTAAACCTATAGTGAAATTTATATTGAGATTTATATTACTAATTTTGCCTACTTAACATCTATAATTTTTGAAATAAAAAAATACATAAACACAACAAAAAATATATTATTTTTCTTCTTAAACGAACGGTTTTATTTTCCTTCAATAAACCAATACTTGAATGTCCCTTCTTGGGTCTCAAAAATTCACAATCTGAATATCTCAAACTACTCTTCAAACTTGAAATTAACAAAATTCTTGCCAAACACAAGACAATGTTTCTACCCAGCCTAAAACATCCTAAAAGAGCTCTTTTTTTGGAATAGACGGGCAATACTTTCTTAGCCGATTTTTCTTTCTTTTTTGAAGATTACGATTCGAGAAGTCTTGAAGACACCAAAAATGAACAAACAAAAAAAAAAGAAATATATAAATGATTGTCAAAAAAAAAAAATATAAGGTCAATAATAAAAATATATGAATAATAAAAAAAATATAACATTAATTAAGATATAAATATAATATTGGCTATGATTATTA